TCCACGACCCGCTTGGGCACCTTGATGGCAGCAAAGAGGGGAGGACATGGTGTACAGGCAGCTTGAGGGGGGTCAGAGCCTCAGGATGGCATCTCGGGGGGAATCTGTGCAGGGTGCCCTGTGCACAAACCCTGATGAACCTCCAGCTAAAGCTGCGTAGCATTAAAAAACAAATGAGTTTGGCTTAAAGCCCAAGACAGGGTGGAAGAACTGCAGAGACAGTGAACCAGGCACCTAGACCCAGCGAGGGGTCCGGCAGGGTGCAACTGCTCTGTGCTGCCCACCCCCATGGCACCATGCTCCTGCTGGGAGACAGGCAAGGAGGGGGAAGCCCACGGCTTTGCTGATGCTTCCTGGACCCAATCCCAGGGTGTTCCCTGCAGATGCCGGGAGCTGGGTACAGCCACATGTGGGCAGAGAGGGCAGGGTGGGCATCGCCTCCTGTGCGGGTAAGCTGGGGCATCCCGCAGCCCCTCCCGCTCTCACCTCCAGCTCCGCAATGATGCGATCCTCGTCGTCGTCGTCTTTGATGGCAGAGGCGATGATGGGAGGGGTGGACGCTGGCCTGACCACCTCCGACACTGTCCGTCTCAGCTTCACTTGGGGCTTCTGGGTCTCCAGCTCCTCCGACTCGGCCTTCTGCAAGGGGAGGGAGCAGCGTGGTGAGGGAAGGGCGGGTCTTGCCCAGCAGCCACACCATGGCGTCCCTCCCTACCTTCATAAAACCAGGCTCTTTCTTGCTGGTGACGATGACTTCGCCGCTGCGGGTTGTGGTCAGCCCGTGGGATGAGGGGAAGCTCCGACGTGGAGGGGGGGGTGGTGGTGATTTGGAGGGTTTCTCGGTCCGGTATCGCGGCACCGTCAGTTCGTCTGGGCACAAACGATGCTGTGAGGGCACGAGACCTTTCCCTGCCCCTCTAATACAACACCCAAGGCTCTCCCACTGCCTCCCCGGGCATAAACTCACAGAATCCCAGAATGGTTTGGGCTGAAGGGACCTCAAAGCCCACCCAGTCCCACCTCCTGCCATGGGCAGGGACACCTTCCACTAGACCAGGTTGCTCCAAGCCTCATCCAGCCTGGCCTTGGACACTCCCAGGGATGGGGCATCCACAGCTTCTCTGGGAAGCTGTCCCAGTGCTCCCCACCCTCTCCGGGGAGAATTCCTTCCTTATGTCCCATCTCAATCTCCCTCTTCCCGTTTAAACCCGTTGCCCTACCAAGGACAGCATCACTCAATCCAGGGAGACCCACTGGTGACACCATGGCCAAGCCACATACAGGATCAGGCACCCCCAGCCGTAGGATCTGGGACCCCTGCCCTCCCCACGCCATACCTGAGCCCCGGCGGCCGTTGGGGTCCCCCTTGCCCCCCGATTTTGCTGTGTGCTGTGGCTTGGAGGGCTTGTGCTCGGGTGTGGAGGCAGCACTGCTGCTGCCCGTGGGTTGTTTGTGCTTGGCAGCGAATTCCAGGTCAGGAATGGCCTTCATCAGCTCGGCTTGCGTCTCTTCCAGGAGGCGGTTGATGTCCTTGGCACTGTACTGGGTCAGCGCCGCCCGCTTCTCCTCCCAGTCCCGCTCCGCAGCCTGCGGACAGCAGGCAGAGCCCGCTGCAGCCCCCAGCCACGCAGCAGCTTCTCCTGCCCTTGCAGGCAGGATGTGACCCACAGCCTTGCCGACACCCTGCCCCAACCTGCTGCTGAGCCTGGGAGAAGTGGGGGGCGCCCAGCACTGCCCCCTTCCCCGAGCTGCATCCCCCCCAACACAAGGTGCTCCCAAGGCGCAGCATCACCCTCCCGACACCCCATCGGCTACGAACCCAGCAAGGAGGAGGTCAGACCCCGCTCCTGTCCCCACTTTCAACTGACAGACACAGGGATAGACCCCCTAGAAGACCCCTCCCCCAGCTGAGGAGCCCACCCCAGGCTCTCACCTCCACGGATACGGCTTTATCCGCACTCTTCTTGCTGGGGGTCTCCGGGCCTGTCTGGGTCTTGGCAGGTACCATCTCCGGAGCTCGGGAAGGGTTATTGCTCTTGGAGGGGTGGGTCTGGGTTTGGGGGGGGCTGTGCCCGAAGCTGGGCATGCCCAGGGTCTCGGTGACGGCTCACGGGGGGGCTGGTGGGCATCTCCAAATCCAGCCCTTTGCTGAAATCCGTCTCCGGGGCCACCTTCTTGGGGGACTGGCTGAGGTTGCTGGGGGAGGTCCACACGCCCTCCTCCACTTGCCTGTGAGGGACAGAGTGAAGGTGCTGGGTGCTGCACAGCATGCGGGGGGTGGGTTATTGCAGCCCCTCCAAGACACCCCACAAAAACACTCGTCCTCCTGCATCTGTGCAGGACACAGCTGGAGGGTTTGGTTCTCTGCTGTCTGGGGGGGGTTGGGGCTGATGGATTCTCTCCTGGGGAAGCGCAGGAACGAGTTCCTCCGCCTGACTGTCCATTTTCATGGAGAAAATTGGATCTCCCCAAATCCTGCCCCTCCGTCAGACCTGGCTGAAACTGCCCTTTGGATTCAGGAGTTATTCGGGCCAGGGAATGACAGGTAGGTGGATTCAAACACCGTGTGATCATACAAGCTCATCTCCAGAGAAAACCAGGCTAGCAGGGAGCCCGAGGCGAGCCCGGTGCTGGAGCGCTCCGGCAGCGTGGCCGAGCCGTGAGCCATCCCAAAAGGTCTCG